GTCTATCTTCTGGAGATGGCAGCATTTCTTACAGCTGCCAAATAATTCAGTCCAGTCCCTGATCTCATGATTTTTTGTTCTAATGTTTGCACTGTCAGCATTTTTGACTGCATGTTCAACTGCTCATTTGGGATGCTTAGCTTTGTGTGCCCATCTACTTGGTACAAGGCATATGACTATATTTATACACATCTATAAAAATACACATGTATACATAAGGGTGCAGACATGGCTGGCAATAGCTCCTTCCAATTGAGTTCTGAGATCCCAGGACCCTCACTCACAGCAGTAAATTGAGTTACTATCAATCAGCCTTGTCTTGCAAGAGAAAGTGGCTTTCCCTATCAGTATTGGGTGGGATCTTGGAGAGACACTAGTCTTCTCAAGGCTAGGAAAAAAATTTCTGTGAAAACATGAGGATTAAAAAATCACCAGACCAAAAACTAAAGAAAAGTAGTCACATTTATGAAACATAAATATTTTATCAGCTGAAAAATAGGGAAGGGGGAATTGGTTTTTTTTGGGGGGAGAATTTTTTTAAAAATTGCTTTTATTTTAAGAAGTCAATTTTTTTCACAACAAAGAGCAGCTACACTGTAGGCTTTTAGAAATCTCAGGCTAAGCTGAATGCATTTTGGGCTGATTTTCTTCAGAGCTGGACAACAGGAAGGCAATTAAAATATGTATATTTAATATATTGATCACCTATCACTTAAAAAAACTATGCTTGCGAGCTGACCCCGTCTTTTCCTTGCCAATGCACTACACGTGTTCATACCACATCGGCTGACACCACCTAAAAGTGTCTTGTAAAGACCTTATATTTTTGATCTTAGAATTACAGCTGCTCATACCTTCTCTGGCAGCACCTTGCTGAAATCCCAAAGCTCTGCTGAGATGCTGCTATTTCTACTGAACCATGTTGAAATTTTAGCCAGGACTGAATAAGACCTTGCCAGTTTTCCTGCCTGCTGGTTGCAAGAGGTAAAAATCCCCAAAGCCTCCTTAAACTTCCCAGTTGTTCCACAACTTTCCTATCTGGGGGGAATGGGAATTTCTAGCTGTCTCAAATTTGTCCAATTAGCCTTGAATCAGATGTTTCCAGGCCGACTTATCCTCAACAAAGTACTAGGAGGATGGAGACCTAGAAACCTTGAAATTTCAAGTTCACGTCTCCCAGATGGCTGAACACCAAGGCGTGGGATGGTTTGTGCAAGGGAAAAATCACTGCGTTGCCCTGTACTTTCTTCCTTATCCTTCCTTGCTGGTCAATGCCAAAAACTGGATGCTGGCTAGAAAGATACCTGGTCTGACTTCACGGGATGCCTCATCCTGTGACCAAGGTTTTTGTTGTGTGTTTAGTTTAGTCCATCCAATACTTTGCTGTGTTTCAGTGGTTCAG